ACTGCAGCGTATTCCAAAGCAAATAAAGACATAAGTCCATGTTCGATTGTTTGTTTGTTGGTTTGTTTGTTTGTTTGTTTGTTGGTTGGTTGGTTTGTTTGCTTCTTGTTGTTTTGTTATTGTTGTTTTTTAGGGGGGTGCCGCTTTTCTCTATTCAACAAAAATTAACTCAGACACAGTCTTGTTCTCTGGTCTTCAAAAATTGAACACCTTTTATTCTCTATCTACATAGTATTGAACCTCTTCCTGGTGTTCGATGGCTCCAGTTCTCATTCTGGTCCCCACAAGATGTGGAGAGAAGGGGAAAGAAAGGAAGAGAGGGGGGAGATAGATTTCGGAGGGAGGGAGCGAGAACGTATTGTCTCTCTTGAGTTTTATAATTAATGATATGCCACCACAACCGGTTCGATTTTGAATACGAGTAGGCTTTTGAAAAATAGAAAGCGAACAGAAGAGTAATTATTTCGGTTGTGTATGGTATTCATGGTAGCCTATAGCACGGTATGGTGTGATACAATTACGACGTGATAGACTATAACACCGCTTTGTACACGGTATACTTGGAATTTTTTTTAAGCGGGATCTAATAATTGGCAAAGAGCTCTTTGACTATTAATCATTTTGAACCTACGAAAGGTCCAAGCCAAGAGAGGGGAAAGTTTAAAAAATGGTTGAAGTTCAGACACGCCCCTTTTGGTAGGAGAGAGAGAGTCGGCCAAGCCACGGGCCAGTACGCTACCAACTCAGCCAAAACCACTACACTGACACTAAAAAGCGATGTTTTCATCGGAAAGATAACCTGAAGGCAGAGACAAAAAAGAAAAACGTGAACTGCTTTTTCATTCTGCAATGTCAGTGTCAGACTTTGCAATGAGCGAGCACGCTCGTGCCAACACAAATCAGCTGGTAAGAGGCTTTCAGCCGAATGCCATGTCGAGTCCGACTCCTGATAAACAATATCCGTATTGTCATTTATATTCACCAAAAAGTGTAAATTATTTATAACGAATGTTTTGGTCACGGACGGATAATGACTCGTATGTGTTGGAACAAATCAGCCTGGCAGCTTTTTTTTTATCTTTAAACAAAGCAGGCAGATTTCTAATAGCCAAGTAAGAGTGTCAATACAGAAAAGGCAGAAATATTTTCTGCTGTGACACTTTGACACAAAGACGCAATGAGATATTACAGGTACTATTCAGTGTTAAAATGTAAAATTAATAGCATTTTACCCATTAATTGTAATCCTAATCTAAATAGTCGGCTGGCGCACTACACCTGTAGTGAATAACTGAATAATACATGTAGATAAAAGGTTCAATCACCGATGTCACGTAATACTATATATATGATGTTTATGCATGAATACCACTGAGATCTTGACACTCTAGTTAGGCCTACGTTCCCCAGATTCCGGTGTTGAATGACGTCTGCACAAGGCCTTTGATGAAAAGCACATTTTCGGAGCGTGGGCAAACCGTATGGCCATATAAGACCCCACAAAAAATGCAGAGAGGTCAGTACGCTCTTAAAAATCCAGGACGAGCACTAGTAGAAAATCGAGGAGATGGACTCCTCAGACTCAGAGCAACACCATAATATTATTCGTAAACAGCAAATTAGCTAGAACTGTGCATGGCTGAAAACATGAAGAACGACCTTTGGTTTGATTTAGCCTATATGGGGTAATAAATTCGGAGAAGGCCTGGACAATATTTATTTAAAAATTGTGAAAAGGTGGCGTACACAAAGGCCAGCATACTCTGGACCAAAAGTCTCCGCAGCCATTGACATTATAAGTTTAAAATAACATTAATTATTGACGATCCTTTAAAATCAGCTGTTCTGAACGTTTTTTCGTTTTGTTTTGTTTTTGTTTTTTTTTGTTTTTTTTTTGTTGTCGTTGCTTTTTGTTTGTTGTTGTGGGGTTTTTTGTTGCTCATTTTACACTAAAACTGCCGCACCGAGTTTTATTGTGGAGCCTAGCATCAATAAATTCTGTAGTTTCCATTTACTCAGTTACATCCCGGCAGACTTGGAAGTCTAAAGGGTAGATAATAGAGGGCATCTTTGTTCCATAATCTCACCATGTGAATATGTTATAGGCGCCCATAAAATATATTATTCGCATAACTTCTATTGGTAAGCCTCTCGACTATGTTCCGAATGATCCAGTTGATAAGCTCCAACCCTGCGATGAAGCTGGGTTGTTTGCGCTTTATCAAAGCTCCCAAGCTAAACTTTCCTGTCGGACCGCGACGTTACTTTGGAAGACGTGAAAAATTTAAAAGTAATACGAAAACTAAAGTCTCTCTCTCTCTCTCTCTCTCTCTCTCTCTCTCTCTCTCTCTCTCTCTCT